TGCCTCTCTGGGATGGGTGGAGGGCTTTTGGGTAGGGTTTTTTCTTCAGTTTCCCTTAGGCTCTATTCTTCATTGGTCTTGGCACCTTTGATCTAGATAAAAGCTTGTACTTACAGGTAGCCTTGCTAGGAGGCTTCCCCTTGGAAGCTTTGGGAAATGGCTGGCCAGCTGCTAAAGTGGATGGCTGTGACTCCATGGCTTTCTGTATTATGTGGAAGTCTTCCAGTCATCTCTCTTTTCTTTTCTTTTCTCTCTCTTTTTTTTCTTTTTTAACTGCTGCTACCATAGGTGTTGATTGTGGATTGATGTAAAATGAAATTGCTGACAGCTTCAAACTTTTCTCTCTTTATCATGATGCTCTATTGGTCTAGTGGTGAAGATTTTTGTTTTCTTGTTGATGTGTAATCTGTTTTGAAAGCTATAATCAAAGATCTTCTGCAGAAAATGTTTCAAGTCCTCATCACTTTTGTAAGCCAGTTGTAACTTCTGCATAATGCAGGTTATTGATGATTCTTCTACCAATCCTAATGCCACATTCTTATTCTTTCCCTCCCACATTTTTCTTCATATAGTTCAGTTCCTTAAATTACTTGCTCATCATACAGACTTAATAGGTATGGAGAAAAGTTTCTATCTTGAAGCACAACTTTCCTGATTTTAAACTATGCAGTGTTCCCTTGTCTCTTCATACAAGAGCGTCTTGATCTATGTAGGTTTCACATGCATACAATTAAGTATTCTGGGATTCCTCATTCTTCTCAATGGAATCTCCTTTTTAAGATTCCATAAACATTATTTTCATGGTCTCACCTCTTTAAATTTCTCATGTAATTTATTTGGATTATTACCAGGCTGTCTAATTTCAATAGGGAGAATCACAAAATAAATTAAACAACAACAATAAAACAACCCTGGTTTATTGAAAACATCAGTAAAATCAACAGATCTGACTGACAAGGAAAAAAGCAAAAGCATATAAATAACTAATATTCAGAAATGAAAGTGAGGAAATTACTACTAGTCTGTTGTTGTTGTTATTGTGTGCTGTCAAGTCGGAACTGACCCATAGCTGACCCTCTGGCAGGTTTTCACAGACAATTAACCATACAGGAGGACACTGCCCATCCTTCTCCCACAGAGCAGCTGGTGGCCTCAGACTGCGTGCTTTCAGGATTGCAGTGCAGTTTCTTGCCACTAGGCCACCAGAGCTGCTAGTCTACTACTAGTCTAAGAAAAAAAAAATTAAAAAAGGATTATAAGCAAATGACATGGATAACTGTATGCCAATAAATTAGATAACCTAGATGAAATGGATGTACTCTTACAAAAGTTTTCTATACACACGTGACAAACAAGATCAATAAAACTATTAAATTATTAGATTGAATCCATGATAAAAAATTTCCCAGCTTAAAAACATTTGGCAATATAATTTCAGGTAAGGGTCTCATATCAATAGTTTACAGAATCCTACAGGGCCGCCACAAGAAAAATGACCGATCACACAATTACAAAACGCACAAAAGACATGGAAAGATTTTCACAGAGGACGATATTTGGATGGCCAACAGAAACATGAAGAAATGCTCAAAATCATTGACAAGAAGAGAGAAGCAAATCAAAACCACAATGAGATACCATGTCAACCCCAATAGCAGTGACAAAGTTTAACAGCAAAGGAACAAGTAATAAATGCTGCAGAGGATGTAGAGATGGGAATTCTTACACAGTGTTGGTAAAATGGTACAACCACTCTGGGAGGCAATTTGGCATTTACTTAGAAAGCTGAATGTTGAAATTCCATGAGACCCAGCTATTCCACTGCTTGGAATATACCCTGAGAAAATGAGAACTGAGACACAATCGGAGACTTATACAGCAATGTTCATAGCACCACAAGAACATGGAAACAGCCCAGATGTCTAACCATAATGGAATGGATTGAGAAATTATGGTTCATTCACATGATGGAATACTACACAGCACACAGGAGCAATGATTTTGCAAATTGCTATGTAACTTGGGAGGGACTGGAGAGGATTATAGGGATGTGTCCTGTCTCCATACCTTTTCAATCTATATGCAGAACAGATTATCCGGGAGGCTGGGCTGTATGAGGGGAAATGTGGTATCAGAATTGGAGGAAGATTCATCAACAATCTACGTTATGCAGATGACACAACCCTGCTTGCTGAAACTGAGGAGGACCTGAAGCTGTTGCTGCAGAAGGTCAAGGACTGCAGCCTTCAATATAGATTGAGGTTCAACATCAAGAAAACAAAGATTCTCACCACTAGGCCAATTGGCAGCATCGTGATAGAGGGTGGAGAGATTGAGATTGTTAACAGATTTCTTTTTTCCCCCCCTTAGCTCCACAATCAACATTCTTGGCACCAGCAGCCAGGGAATTAAAAGATGTATTGCGGTTGGAAAGTCTGGTGTTAGAGACCTCTCCAAAACACAAGAGCAATGATGTCACTCTGGAGACTAAGGTGCGCCTGATGCAGGCCATGGTTTTTGCAGTCACTTGCTATGCATAAGAGAGCTGGGCAATGACTAGGGATGATAGAAAGAGAATTGATGCCTTTGAGCTGTGGTGTTGGAGAAGAGTATTGAATATACTATGGACTGTTAAGAGAATGAGCAGTTCATCCTAGACAGGGTTAAACCAGGCTGCTCCTTGGACGCAAGGATTCTGAATCTTTGTGTGACGTGCTTTGGACATGTTACAAGGTGGGACCAGTCCTTGGAGAGGGATGTCATGCTTGGGAAGGTGGAGGGACAGCACAGGAGAGGAAGATCCTCTATGAGGTAGATTGATTCAGTGACTGGGGTAATAGGGGTAGGTGTGTTGGAGACAGTGAGATTGGCACAGGATAGAGCAGGGTTTATGGCTATTGTACATAGGGTCGCTATGAAGTTGCAGGTGACTCGACGGCATAGAACAACAGTATAAAATAAAAATTTTATTAAAAATTTTTTCCAGCTTATTTTCTTAGCTACCAAGAGAAATATAGAACCCTATTTCTTCACTGATGTAATATACCAGTGAATCCTATCAGAATTTAAAGCAAATTAACACCAGTAATTTCCCTGAGATTTCTTCAGAAAACTTATAAAAATACTTCTGGCAAGCTGGGACTTGTGGCAGACTGATGCATTGTGGTCCACTAAATGAGGAGCCTACTGGGAAAGAAGATATTACAGGAATCAAGAGGTCACCTGGAAATGAACTTAATACTAATGAAAGAGCTGTTGAGGTGCAGAGGCTTGATCCAGTGCATGTAGGTCAGCGATGAAAGGGAAGTTTGGTTTACAGTAGCATAGTCACCAGGGCCTGTGTTCAAGACTTCTTGAGTTGATGGAGAAGATTCTGTAGTCAATAGTGAGGTGAAATGTTGATAAAACCTCAGAGGCTATTGAGGTCACAAAGCAAGAAACCACCTGTGTAATGGCATATAGCACACGTTACCTTTCAGAATCGAGACTAAATAATAACAACACCTAATTAGTATTACAAGGAATACAATTATGATTCAGAGCTTCAAGAAATGAAGTGCTTCTATTTAGAAGGTGAGGCAGGAACATAATATAGTTTCTCTCTATATATAATATATGTAGATTTTGTTCTTGTTTTTGTTGTGCAATGTAAAATTGGGAGTGATCCAATGCTGACTCTCTAGTGGGTTTTCAGAAGCAGTAAATCATGGGAGTTACTGCTCACCTTTCTTTCATGGAGCCGCTGGTAGATTGAAAGTGCTCACCAATTGTTTTGCATTGGTAGCACAATTCCTTATCACTAACACACACACACACACACACACACACAAACAACTTTGCCTGGTATAGTCTGACTAAATACAGGCTGTATAGAGCCGCATCATGCAAATTTATGTTTATGGAATTGAAAATTTTATTAAGGTTGATCATCTAGCCCTAATAAAGCCTCAGCAACCTCACAAAGCCCTTCATTCTTTGTAACAAATTGTGAAAATAGGGAGAATACAGTTTGCAAATCAACATTTTTCACATGTACAGTTCAATAACACCAATAAATTCCTCTTTTTTTTTTAAAGTTATGAAACTGAGGCCAAGAAAATGGACATAAATTTTCTGATTCATCCAAGCAGATATATGCACACCCATGTTTACCACAGCTTTGTTCAAAGGAGTTGGAAACAACCTAAGTGCCCATCAGCAAACAAATGATTAGAGAAGCTGTGGTATATTCACACAATGGAATACTATGCTGCACTGAAAAACAAGGAACTCATGTAATAGTATTCAAAATGGGTGACCCTGGAGGACATTATCCTGAGTGAAATATCTCAGTCACAAAAGGACGAATACTGCATGGTGACACTGTTGTAAAACAGGACTGACCTCAGGGTCGGAGGGAGACTGAGAAAGATGGAATAAATAATGTATACTGCTTTGAAACAGATGAGGGAGAAAACTGTTTAAAAGCGATATGTGATTAGGTATTTTTGTCATGACAGGAGTCCAGAGCGAAGGCTGCATAGTGGAGTAGACCTGGGGGAGGGTTTGTAAAACAATGAAAGAATTTTTCTTTTACTTTTCCAAGAGGGTAATGTACTGGGGGGAGGGTTGAGAGGGGGACAAAAGTGCAATAATGAATGCATGGAAACCCGAAGTTTCTGTAAATTTTCATTGAAATTAATAATAAATTAAAAAAAATCACTTGACTATATAAGGCTACATAAGAAAAAAAATTTTTCTGATTCATATAAAATCTAGATCTCAGGTCTCCTCATTCTGTTTTTAGGAGTCTCTCCTAGGATCCTCAAGGGAGAGACCCATGTACCCCTTTCATGATTTTTCAAAGACCTTATAGGAGCAGGCATGCTGCTCAAACTAGTCAAGAAGCCTTCCTGAGTGTCAGGATTGACAATAAGAAAGGAGCAATTATTTTTCTCTCCAGGTGGCCAATGGGATTGACCAGAAGTGATTGAGGGAATTTTAGAAGGGTGATCCCTCACCTGCAGCTGAGCTGTTGCTGCGAGCATCTTCTGCCGAGTCTGCAGTACTGTGGATGAGGACATGGAGATAGGAACGCTTTGCCGCAACCACCTTATATCTTCCCACATACAAGACAGCTGCAAAAGAAGTCACAAGGTCATATCATCATCCACGTCAGTGCATGATTTAGGCTGTGGCATCAAAGCAAAGCAGGGAGAAGGAAATCTGACCCTTGATGTTTGTTCTCCAGTCCATTTTCAGATACAGGCAAAACAACTTTTTGATCTCTGTCCAATTGGAAAAAGATCTGAATGCTAATGAAACAGTCAGATCTACATTTTAGTCTTTGCCAAACGATCCCATAATTCAGGAGAGTGGAGACACAATCTGACAGGATGCAAGCTTCTCTGCTTTGAAAATGTACTGTAGATACGACTTTGCAGTTTTTAATGGCATAGGTCATATTAGGACTGAAAGGCACTTTTGAGATAATTTACTCTCACCCTAATACTTTGATCATGACAGACATAAATAAAACTTTTAGAGACTTAGTTAACAAGTGCGAAATGGTAAAAATGAAAATTAAAAATCACTACCTTTGTGAACCACAGAAAGTCTTGTGTAATAGAACTGGTGTGCGAGTCATCTATTTCAACAATTGGTATTTGATCTTCGTTGGTGACTAACATATTGTCTTTGTAATAAAATATAACGGCTATGTAGAGTCCTCTAAAAAGAAGAAGCAAGAAAATAAGAAGAGTATCCTTAACAATGTCCTCTTAACAAATACCACTTGTGTCTTGAGGAACGAGGGTGGGGTGAGATGGGGTAGTGGATTAAAAAACCAAGCAAACAGAAAACATTTTGCAACATAGCAAAAGATTATTTTAAATACATCTATGAACATTAATGATTGCTACTAAGAATACCATGTTCACTGGCTCAAACTCTGAGAATACTATCTTATTCAAATTCTGATGAAAAAAGTGAGTTCTAATGTCTTGATAACAAAAGACATTTCTACCTATAACTACAAATCTGTTCATCATTGAAAAATTTAGGATTCCTGGAAGTTACTTAGGACCTACCGTTTTAAGGTCTTCACAAACTTGTTTGATGAATGGAAAAGATGTTTCAGGCTTCTTGATACTGACTGCTTACGACCTGTAGTTTGTAGCTTTGAACTTTCTGGAATACAGAAAGATAAAAAAAATACAGTGTAAATTCCACCTGGCAGAATAGAATCCTTGTCTTCCATCTTCCTGCCTTCCTTCAACCACCGTCCTTGTCCTCCACTTTTCCTTAGTTTCTTGTAGATATTGAGCTCATCTATTTCTAAAAGAAGCTCTTATACTTTGAGAGGTCAGTGGTTAGCTTAATTAATGTACAACTCTTCAAAAAAGTCTGTGATGTGACATACTTGTAACTGTAAGGGAAACAACATAGTTCTTTTGTTTATACTTTCTATATTCCATTACTTTTTTCTTATTAAATTAGTAAAACACATTACAAAAAATATGGAGCATAGTAAAAAAGAATAAGCCCCACCAATATCCTGTAACCAATTCATTTTAATCACTTCTATTATTCTATTACTTTGCCCCCTGGCACACTGTATATGTTGGTTTAAAAACAGTTATAAGGATAGATATGATTATAGTTCTCATTATTCTGAAGGAAAAAACTAAGACTGAGGTTAGATAGATTGACCAAGATAATAAACCTAGTGTATTAAAAATTAAGACATTCATTCATTCATTCATGAACAACTATTTTGTGGGACCCTTCTATATGCAAGCTACTCATTCACTCATTGCCACTAAGTTGGAACTGACTCTTAGCTGACCCTTCAGTGAGGTTTGGGAAGGCTGGAAATTGCATGGAAGGAGATTGCCTGTCTTTCTCCTGCAGAACTATTGCCAAATTTGAACCACTAAAGACATTGTCTTCTGATTAGCAGAGTAACTCATTTTGGACTATGTTACCAGAGTTCTTTGTGGATATTATTGTTAGGTTCCTGTGACTTGAAGATGACTTAACAGATCTGAACCTTATGCTATTCTGCTTCATCCTCACGATCTTTGATATGCTCAAGCCCATTGGTACAGTCACTGTGTTGGTCCATCTTGTGGAAGGTCTTTCTCTCTTTCTCTGATCCCTTTCCAGAAAAACAAACATAATTGGAAATCACTCTTCCTCCAGTCCAGAAGAAAGCTAGTACCTAGAGTGGGATCTACCAAGTATAGGGGTGGGTTTGTTATAGGTTAAATTCTTTTACATACATAATGTTTCCCTTTTGGGATCTTAGAACATGTACAATTTAGGATAGGCTGGAAGAAATTTTTCCGTAGATTCTGTCTGACTGGCCTATGAGAAACACCTAAAATTTGACACTGGAGGCTTTCTAGTGAGCAAGGTCATCCTAAAGTCAATCTAAAGAAGAAGAACCCTAGGTATGTTAGAAAGAGAATTAATGCCTTTGAGCTGTGGTGCTGGAGAAGAGTGTTGAATACACCATGGACTTCCAGGAGAACAAACAAGTTCGTCCTAGAGAGGGTGAAGCCAGCCTGTTCCTTGGAGGCAAGGACTCTGAGGCTTCGTCTGACATACTTTGGGCATGTTGCAAGGAGGGACCAGTCCTTGGAGAGGGACATCATGCTTGGAAGGGTGGAGGGATGAAGAAAGAGAGGAAGACCATCGATGAGATGGATTGATATAGTTACTAGGGTAATGAAGGTAGGTGTGTTGGAGACAATAAAGTTGGCACAGGACAGAGTATGTTCCAGGACTGTTGTCCATAGTGTCGCAAGGAATCAAATGTGACTCAGTAGTACACAACAATAATAACAATAACAACAACAACAACTTGCATGTGGCATCAGGATTAGAGGATGACTCACCAGCAAACTGTATTATGCAGATGACACAACTTTGTTTGCTGAAAGTGAGGAGGATTTGAAGCACTTGTTGCAGAAGATCAAGAAATACAACTTTCAATATGGATTCTAACTCAACAACAAGAAGACTAAAGTCCTCACTGCTGGGACTGTAGTCAACATCATGATATATGGAGAAAAGATTGAAATTTTCAATGATTTCATTTTACCAGTATTCACAGTCAACAGCCTTGGTACCAGCAGTCAAGCAATCAAAAGACATTGATGTGGGGAAGTCCGCTGTCAGGGATTTCTCCAAAATACTGAGGAGCAATGGAGTTGGAGAAGAGTATTGAATATCCCATGGACTGCCAAAAGAATAAACTGATAAGTCTTTCAGAAAGTGCAGCCAGAGTGATTCTCAGAGATAAAAATGTTGGAGCTTTGTCTCACACACTTTGAGTATGTTGTTGGAAGGGGCTATTCTTTGAAAAGGGACAATAATGCTTGAGGGTCAGTGAAAGAGAGGAAGCTATTCTATAGATGGATTGACATAGAGACTGCAGCTATGGGCTCACGTATGCCAGAGACGATGAGGACGGCACAGGATTGAGATCTGTTGTTCACAGGGTCACTAGGAGTTGCGACTGACTCGATGGCAGCACCATCGCCACCACCATGACCACCAACAACTTGAAGCACTTTTTAAAGAAAATGAAAGACTATAGCTTTCAATATTGATTATTCCTCAACATGAAGAAAACAAAAAATTTGCAACTGGACCAATAAGCAACATCATGATAAATAGAGAAAAGAGTAAAATTCATCAGATATTTCAGATTTTCTTAAATCAATAATTAGCACACCTGGAAGCAGCAGTCAAAAAAATGAATAGACTTATTGCATTGGGCACATCTGTTATCAGAGATCTACTTAAAGTGGTTATAGATAAGGTATGTCTATTCCAAGTCATGCTATTTTTAATTGCCTTGTATGCACGTGGAAGTTGGACGCAGAGTAAGGAAGACTGAAGAGCTGACATAATTGAATTGTGTGTTGATGAATATATAAAAGAATAAACAAGTTTGTCTCAAAGTAGTACAGTAGGAGTGCTCCTTGGAAAGGAAGATGTTGAAACTTAATCTTGTAGACTTTGAGCATGTTTCTGAAGAGTCTAATATCTGGAAAAGGAGACCATGCTTTGAAGGGTAGAGGGGTCAGTGAAGAATAGAAAGACTCAGCTTCCTCTCAGATGGACTGGCATAGTGAATGTAGCAAGGGGCATTAGCACAGCAGTGATTGTAAGGAGAGGGAAGGGTCAGGTGGGCTTCCATTCAGTTGTACATGGAATTAATATGAATATGAGCTGACCTGATGACACCCAACAATGACAACATCAACACTGTGCTCAGAGCTTCCCAACAGCAATATAAAGCTCTTCTTTTAAATTTGAGCAAATATACAGGGATCGTTAGGAGGCTGAGAAAAAGCACCAAGTGTGATAAACAGGAGCAAAAACCAAGTAAGTAAAAGAGCAACTTACAGAAAAGAAAGACTACAAGGATAACAGGAAATAGGAAATGAAAATACAGTCTTTCATTAATATGCTCAGCGTCAAGCGATCATACTGTGTTTTTTTGACAAAAGAATGTTATTGTGATATGTCTTTGATAGGTCAATTCATAGCTGACCCTCTATCAGGTTTTCAGAGGCTGTAAATCACACTGGAGGAAATTTATCATCTTCTCCTCCAAGGAACAACTAGTGGATTTGAACCACCAACCTTTGTGTTGGCAGCACAGTTCCCTATCCACTAGGCTACCAGAACTCTGTGATAAAATGATGATATTATTGTATTGTTATTATGCATCATTGAGCCAGAACTGATCCATAATTAACCTCCCAGCAGGTTTTCAAGGACAGTGAGTCACACAGGAGGAGACTGTCCTTCTTTGACCTGTGGAGCAGCTGGTGACAATGTAATTCCCTACCACTGAGCCACCAAAAGAATAGAGGTCTGTACGCAAAAGGATAGAGACCCATAAAAGAAAACATTCAAAGATCAAAAAGACCTTTGAAAATGAAACATATGTTATAAATATTGAATATCACAATCAAAGACTTGGAAAAGTTGAGAAAATCTCCAAGAAAATAGAGCAAAAAGACAACGGTTAGGAGAGGGGAGGAGAGAAGAAAAAATCTCTATGATTGACAGAAACAGACCTACAATAACTGTTAGGAGAGGGGAGGGGAGAAGAAGGAAATGTCTATGACTGACAGAAACAGAGCCACGCTGATGCCCATCACAGTGAAATGTTACACTACTAAGGACAAAAAGAGCACCCGAAGCTTTCCAGAGAGGAAAGCCAAAATCATTTTCATTTGAAATCTCTGGAAGTAGAATCCTGGAGGCTTTTCAGCATTGACGGAGGACAGTGAAACAATGCCTTCAGAGAAATGACTGGAATGGAGAATTCTAGATTTGGCCAAATTTTTAAATAAATGTCGAGTAGGAGAAATATTATTGTTGTTGTTAGACACTTAAAGTGTCCAAAAATTAGTGCTTAGTATAAATGAAAAACAAAACAAAGCCAAACAAAACCACAAACCCAAACACACCCAAAAAAACCCCAAAACACACCAAAAAGCCCTCAAACCAAACCAAAACAAACTCCAACTGACTACCATGGAGTCAGAACCAATGCATAGCTGACCCTCCAGTGTGTTTCTGAGGCTGTAAATGTCAGGGGAGGAGATTTACCATCTTTTCCCTCTCATCTGCTGTTGGATTCAGACCACTAGGGAGTCATGGCCTCTGGATTACCGATACAACTCTCTACAGCCTAGACAACTTTGAAATCCCTCAGGAAAGGATGTGCCAAAAAGAACAGATTAACCCAAGAGAGATGATGAGGGATTGGGGGTGGGGGTGGGGGAACTAACCCACAAAAGAAACCTAATATTGAAGAGTGGTAAGAAGAGTTCTCAGTGTAGTAGCTAAAGGCGATCTCATGATTGCAGTTGTGTACCAGGCATGTGGGCTTTTTGTTAGATGCTGTGGAGTTGAGTACAACTGACTTGAACTTTGCCCTCTCTTTGCCAACTTAATAATTTCTGACTCACTAGAGCCCATTGCTGAAGTCCCATGTCAGTCCACCTCATTAGTATTCCTTTCCTTCGCTGACCCTCCACCGTTCCATGTGTGCTGTATCTTTCTAAGGAGTAACTTCATATCTAGAGGATGAGTGACGAAGTTTCACTATCTTTGCCTCCAAAGAGCACTCTGGCTGCACTTCAAGATGTATCCGTTTG